GCAATTTTTATGACAATCCTTTATTGGAAATATTTCATTTCCATTAGCTGCTGATGACTTCCCCCAGTTGATTTTAAGCCTCTTGGCCTGACACTCGTTGATCTTTTTATTGTTTTTACCGCATTAAAAAAACCCCCTCCACCCAGTCACTAACAATTGCGGCTTCACTTAATGCAAAATGTTGCTGTTATTGTAAACCATTTATTAAACATAATTTGAGTGCGTAAATTTCAGAGCCATTCGAAGGCACACAGAGAAAGAGCGAGAGGGGTAATGAGCATGAGAAAGAGATGGAGACAGTCGTCCCATTGCAATTAACATTCATTGTCATGTGCGACTTTTTGTGTCTGCATTTTTGCATCGATTGGAGCTGAGCCCTTTCCAGCGATAATTATGACCACAAAAGGGTCAGAGGTCGATGGAAGGGGGCAGGGTTTTTAATGGGGGCGACATATTTAAGTGCATTTAAGTAGCATTTAATCTGGTAACAGTTCGCACTGCCAGACAACTCTTAATAAGGCAATAATTGCAACTCAGCCAGGATCATCTATAGAAATCTGTGCGGATTTTAGAGGATTTTTATTTTGAAACAAACCTTTTTTCTTTGATAATATATGGTTATTTAAATTAATTTTTTTTGTAACTCTAAAATGTGGGTATTAATGTTGCAAATTCTTATTTACTTACATAATTTGAACTATCAAATGTTCCTCTAAGCTGACACTGTGCTCAGTTACTTAAAGGCTCTTAATCCTTTTAAAGTTGGAGAACCCACTTTGGACTATTGGAGTTTTGCGCACAAAAGCATGCAGCACTTTTCGAACTCCCTGCGATTCCAACACTCCAACGCACTTTTCCCAACGCCGAGCTGACATCCGTTGGCCAGGCTTTGATGATGGCTAAAGTGCACACGTAAACACTTAACCTGGTCTGTATAGAGAGGTAGTTGGAGGAGTGGGGTTGAGCGTAGGAGGGTCAAAAAAACATGGCAGGTGCCCTGCTGCCTGTGGGTTGACTTAATTTCTCAACTGGCAGCCGGACAACTAATTTAAGAGGGAAAATCATTTTCGGCGCTTTTCCTTTCTGGCTAGTTGCCAATCAGGTCACGAACTGTCGCTCGTCCAGTTTTCAGTATTTTTTTTTTGGGCCCCTGATTTTTCATGTTCTCCTGAAAGGGTCACAGCGAACATGTTCATAATGTGCGCTAATGTGCATAATGTATGCGAGCCAAAAACCAGACACGCATACTTGCACAGCGACAGTCCTCGTCCCACACACACTCACACACACACTCGCAATCAGGTTACACGTGCAACAATAACAACAACAGGAACAAGGTGAAACAGGCAATTTAACAAGCCATCAACGCTGATGGTGCCGACAATGATGTTGATGATGGGATGGCCCGTTCCCGGGCAATAACAACAAGCAGCAAACAACAAACAACTGGCAGCTGCAATAACAACACGGCTAAACAGGATACACGGGGCAACTACCACAATCGGTGACAACACGGCAATATTATGTTGCACCTTTGCCACACACACTCACACACGCCCCCTGGCCTTTAACCTTTCAGCCGGCGCTATTTTTATAAAAAATATCACGCTGACAAGGCAAACTTGGTTGATAAATTGAAGACATTGTAAGTGCTAATTAAAAAATGTTTTCGATGTATCCAAAAGTAAACCCTTATATTTGTTTGCTATTTTTAAGATGTGATTGTGAAGCTAAGTAAGTCAAAGTATATATAAATTATTTTGAAATAATATAAATAATTATTAAAATATTTAAACCTTCGAATATCAGTTTAATTTGTAAAATAAAATTGTGACACCGAAAAAAAGTTAATAGTTACTTTTATGAAAGGAACACTAGGTTGATAATTTAAAGAATTGTTCGGGCCAGTTATAAAAGTCCTTAACTCTGCTTAAAAAGTTAACCGTTATATTTATTATAAATTTTTATGATAAGGTTGTGAAGCTAACTAATTCAAAGTACATCTAAAATATTAAAAAATAATACCAATTATTACTGTAATATTATTACCTCTGTACAACAGTAAAAAAGTTATTATGTATTTTTAAACATTTCATACTTGGCTGATAAATTAAAGACATTTTTTTAACATGCCTACAAACGACTTCGAATATATATTTTAATTTTTAGGAAGCGATTGGAAAGCTAAGAAAGTCCAGGAAAGACAACAACATTTGTAAACAGTTCAAAAACGATATTGATACGTTATAATTTTTCTAGGTATTCGCTCGCAAAATAAAACTAAAGGATCATTAGTATTATACCAAGAATGCTAGTTGACTGGTACAGTTCGAAACCATTTTTATTTGGATACGCAAATCATGGTAAAATCCAATTTCAGCCACCATAAACTTCGCAAGGCGGGCCAAAGGAAGATCCAACCCTTTTTGCAAGCATTACGAGGATGAAAAGAAAGCAGCCTGTTTTTGCACTTTGCACTTTCCACTTTGCACACGGCGGCGGAAGCACGAAAATTAAGGCAATTCAGTGCGGGTTCTGCATCTCGTCACGTCTTCTCTCGAGGATCACGTAGTGACCCACACGCTCGCCCAAAAAGGGAATACTTGATGCAAAACTTTGCCCTTTGCCGGCTAGAGCTTATCGCTGGTGCTGCATTCAATATTTATTACGCATACGACCGGGTGGCACGCTCGGCTAAGAAGTGGCTGCCAAGGCCCAGGCTCACCTGTAAGTGGCTTAATTAGTGCGACAAAGTGTTTGCCAATTCAGAGTCCCCCTTTCGGTGGTACCAAATTGAGGCCCTAAATCAGCTTACACATCTCGGGAAATATGGAGGGCCAGCTTTACGGATTTTCCTATTCATTGGTCCAGCAAAGTCGACCGACTGTTGGCAGACCTAAAAAGCCACCACTTGTTGCTAGGATATAGATAAAAAAAGGACAGAAATTCCGCAAAAAAAGATACTGACATGACTTGTTGGCCTTGTTCTTTTGGATTAAGTTGTATAATTTCATAATCTACTTAGCATAAACTAGTATAAATCATATAATAAAAAGATAAACAAATTAGAGTTAATGTAGTAAAAAAATCCATTTAATACTAAGTATGTATTATTTGTTTACTTTAAGATAAACTTGATAGTATAAAGTATAGCATTTAGCAACCTTTGAGATATAAATGCGCTGCCTTTTAAGACATGTATGCATTACTTATTTCTGAAGTGCAATTAGTTTTACCTCTTTTAAAGGATCGGCCATAAATGTAAGACCATTCAAAAGGATCAGCTTTAAAACCAATTGAATCGTCCTTAAAGTGAAAAGCTGGCATTTCATGCGCTCTGAGTGCCCCTTTCCCACTTTTTCCCTCGTTCAGCCGTCGAATGGAATGTATAAAATGTAACGATTGAGGCGGCAGACACGCCCACTTCCCGGCACAAATACACACACACATTTCCGCGGAAACACACACATCAAACCGAGCTGTTGATGGCTTTCAGTCAGCGCAGGGAATTCGCGGATTCGTATTGGCCGGGCACACATAACTCAGCGGAGCGACTGGCAATGAGGCCAATGCATCCGGATCCTCGTGGGCTGCCAACAATTAACAGCATAAATTTAAATATGCAATTAACGCAACAGCTTGAAGCTGAAAAAACGAGTAATAAAAAATAACAATAAAATGAACGGAAAATGAGCAGAGTCAAATGCTGTGGGGAAAAAGAAATTTCAGAACACTGCTTACTCGCGAAAATATATTTTAAGTATTTCAGGTCTTAGTTTTTAACTTATTATTTAATAATATAATTTGTAGTTAGTCACTATTAATGACTTTAATGTAGATGATTTAAGAAAAAATAAAAATTTTAAAAGCCAATGTAGTTAGAATATTTGCTAAACATTAGGTAACATTTTTTTAAGCTAATGGTATAATTGGATTATATTATATAGGCTTTTTATTGGTTAATGATTGGTATATATCAACCACTGTAATTAAAGCAGACTAAGGAAGCAGGGGCAGTAAGGCCGACAAACTTAGTGAGTTGGGGGGATCAGAAAGGTCAAAGAATTGGTAGAGTGGAAGGAAGTGAGCTGCAGCAAAAAATCAGGCGACAATAAAAGCCAAAGGTCATTTTAACCCAAGCACACACGCACGCAGAGCAGTGAAATGCATTTGATTGTTTGTATTTTTTTTATGTAGGTGGACCATTTATTGTTTTTTTATTTCCAACAAGCAAAAAACAACTCGAAAAAAACACAATTTTCCGCTTTATTTGCCCAGTGCTGGGGGTCCGGCAACAACAGCAAAAATGACAAGGGCAATGTCTGTGCGTTATATGATACTGCCACTTACCCCCCTTTTTCGGCACTCCCATGACCTAGCCTCCCCCTGCATTCCCTTCGACAACAACACCCCCCTCCTGGAATCGTTGCCATACCCACATGTCAATATTTTTGCGCTTCGGCCTCGGTTACATGGGCCCCCAGGGAATTCGTCCTGTAAAATTTATTTCAGTGCAGCGACAGACTCTTTACTGATGTGTAAATTGCTCTCTCTCCCGTTTAATGAAATTAAAACAAATTTCCAGTGAAATTTAATACATGCAGAAGCAGCGGACGGTGCACAGTAGGCATAATAATAATAAGCACAATAATGGTATTAAAATTATTGCACCTGGCCACTGCACTTGACAGGCCCACCAATAATATTGCAAAATTACGGTGCTCAATTACGGGAGTCAAAGTGCAGAGAACTGAAAAAAAGTAAATTCATTATGGTAAAAATATGCATCAGTTCAAAATTTCATAATATACTACATATATTTTATGTATAAATATTCAATACTTGATATATATTATATATATAATATAATATATATCTTTCGCTATCTTATTACACTAAGAGATATATACCAAATTTTATACGTTTTTTGTTTTGATTGGGTGCAGTTTCATATAAGTAATATAACTATTATCTTAAATATTATATTTTATTTTCATGCATCGAATCGGAAAGGAAGCTTATCAGTGGCAATACATTTTTGAGAATTGGAATGTTCAGAATAAATTGGAAACAAGACAAAGAGTTATTTGAAGACACTTATGACCGGCATTCGTATTACTCGCATAGAAGTCCCAAATTATACACGTTTTCATCTAAGGAGGGTTTTTCAAGATCGCCGGGTTGTGGTTCAAGATCCAGAAGTTGCTCGATACTATAGCGCTCAACGACTTTTCCCTTCTGGTTGACTAAAATCTTCAACGGAATTAGGGGACTTCGACGAGTTGTCCAGTTGGCAAGAGGTCGGAAATGAGTAAGATTACCCCTGCGTTTCTCCGCTTCCAGAAGCTCAGAAGGTGGACAATATCGAGGCGAGGACGTAGCCCTGAGATCGCCCAGTCTGATGACTCCCGATGGCGTAATGTTGACCAGATTCGGGTTGACCAAAGGCGGCTTTGCTGGTCCATCCTTGGAAGAGCCGTCTTGAACTTGCTTTTCCGCAACCTTCTTGGCCATATATTTGGCTCGACATTGTTCATCCCATTCCTTGGTGGTGGGTATATATCTTTTTTTGGTGACCGTAGCCACCTCGAATTTCTTTTCTGATTCCTGGTCTTTGGTGCTAGGTGTTTTCTGTACATTGTCATCATATCGAATCTTTTTCTGCTGCTGCAATTTCTGTTTTTTCAGCTGCTCCTGCTTTTCATTTGTCATTTCACGAAGAATCCGCTCGATACGCTCTCTCTTTGCAACCCTCAAACGATCCACTTTGTTTCTTTCTTCAGGCGTAAATCTTATGGGAGATCGTGAAAGATGGACTACTGGCTGAGCTTTATGGGAATTTTCATTTTCCTCGATCGGTGCGATTAAAGAACCCCGCAGGCGTCGTTGTTCCGACAATTTTAGGGCCTCCAAAGCTACTTCACGTCGTTTTTCCTCATCAGTATTTGAAATGACATTGGAAGTAGTCGAAACATTTCCATTGGGTGCATTGTTCTTAGCCACGTCTCCAATTAATTTTTGTTCCCTGGGCTTTTTCGTTCTTTTGACGCAAGGTAGAATCATGTAGTCCACATCACTTAATAAAACTACCTGAGCACTGCGGGAAGCTAGAGGAGATAATTCTAAAATATAAATTATTATTTAAATAAGATTAGGTACTTTACATCTTTCATATTTCTTGGGAAATCCTTTCCATGGCAACGAGAGGTTAGTTCTGATCTCCTCATTCTCGTTTAAGTCAACTACGGCTTCGTCCTCAGTCGACTCTACCCTCTTGAAACGCGGCACAAATTCTTGAGCATTGACATTTAGCTTCACTGTACTTGCAGCCGCCAACTTGCCACTAAAATCTCCATTTTCCTCCTGGTTTTTCTCTAAATTAGGACCCTGACTCAATTTGTGCATGGTCCTTTCTCTTTTCCGCTATATTATTCTGTTCTTTAAAGGTTTCTCTCTTTTATGTGATAATTGCCTGCTTTTGTAATACTTGTACTAGACAGAAAGCTGTATATTTGTGCGTATGATGGAACCTACTCGATAGAAAGTGTTTTAAAGTATCATTCCAGGCCTACTTAAATATAAATCCTTTGACTTTAAGTCAAATGTTTTTATAATGTTTTTAAAATTGTATTTGCTATTGTTCTTTTTTCCCTACAATGATTTCCAGTGCTTAAATTTATTACAGTATCATTTCAGGCCTACTGGAGAAAACATTCTGTGATTTATGCAATTTAATCTGGTACTATTTTTGGCAGGGTTGCAATGGATTAAAGTGTTGGCAATTTTCTCAATGAAATGGCCATCTTAAACTCAACAACCCGTTTTTCCGATCACTCCGCCTTCTAAATCGCTTGGCAGTCCAGGTACATTTCTCCATTGTTGACATTTATTCGCACAATAAACACAAAGCCAAGGCAGGCGGGGAAAACACAGGTAAAATGTGGAGATGGAGCTGAAGATGGGTACGTGGCAAAAAGGAAAAGCCAGCCAAGCAGTGCAGGCGGTAAACGACATTCAATAAAACGTTTGAAAATATTACAGAAAAAGCGGGAAAAGGAGCTGCAGACGAAGAAATGAAATGAAATGAAAGAAGCGCACAGAAATATGCAATTTCACCTCAATCAGAGTTGTAAAAACAAACAAACAATGGCCAAGTGCAGTGAGCTTAGCTCGGCAGGAGTTCGTCCTTGTCGCCCCCCTCCCCCTCCTCCCTCTCCTCCTTTTTGTACGACCCCTTTTGGAATAGTGGGATCACCCCCTTGGCCGGATGTCATGTGAGCCACATGCTGGGACTCCTTGAATCCTCGTTACCATTTCCATTTCCCCCTCCTGTATCGTTTTGCAAGCTCAAGCGAAAATGCAAAGAGCAGAAAAATGCAATAAGTAAAACGTAATAACTGCTCAGGAGCTGTGAACGGTTGGCTCTATAATCAGGTTGTTTGGCGAGGGAAAACTAGGGGGAGATACCTGCGATTTCGCTAGCCTAAAGCTGAACAAATCCAGACGTTAAAAGTGAAAGTCGCATACAAATGGATATAGAAACAGCTCTGATAAGTGTAGAGGAACAAATAAGAAATGATCTGTATATGAAATAAAACAGATTTACAAAAAAATTGCTCTAGAATTTGATTGTACATCATCACAACCAATGGAGTCAGTATCATTACATTTTATACTACTTAAAATGCCCCAAAACCCACCATATAAGACCAACTAAAATCCTCAAAAAACTCTAAGAACTTATTATTAATTATTTAAATCAATTAGGCAATCCCCGCCCCAAAATTTCTACAACATTGTCCGACAACTTGTAGGTCATCTGGGGATTACCACAGAGATTGGCATCCACACATTCGCCTATTTATCCATGCATGGCATGGAGTGTTGCAAATTTTTGTGTAATTCAACTTGGGAAGTAGGTGAAAGTGGAGGCGTCCGCCACTAATGCATTTGTGGTCAATTTCCGGGTGGCAGGGGAAGGGCGGGTAAACGAACTGAGGCACTGACATCATTTTAATAATAAAATTGTTAACAGAATTGCTGTGCTTTTGTGTGGCTCGGGCCGCACACAAAAACATGTGTTGGCCTTGTTAGCAGCAAAAGCAACACACATGTGCACTGAGGAAAAGTTTGTATTAGCATTATAAATTATTAAAAATATCTCAATTTATTTTTTAGCTTTATATTGTTTATTGCTTGCTTGCTGCCATTGCAGCTGGCACATTGCATAGCTAAAGTATTTTAAATATTCTATATATTTTGAAACATTTTGAATTAAACTCCTGAATTCTTTTTATAAAAACAATTTGGAAGGTTCTTGAGAACTTTTAGTTTTTGTAATTACAGATGAACTTTTAAAACTCGAAAACCAATCTTCCTCCAAAGGAAATGATACCGAAAGTCGAAAACAATTTTGGTAAAATATGAAACAAATTATTTTCGACTTCTACATAAATTCTTTTTTAAAAATTAAAAATATTTGGAAAACCTTATACAGATTTATAATTTTTTTCCAGTAATCGAAATACTTTTGAGGCCCCACGACGACGACCTCAATGTTTTCGATGTCGTTGCTCCTGTTCCTGTTACTGCCACAGTTTTTGCCCTCTTGCAATCTAAATAAAATGGCCGACGTGTGTGTACGCACAACTTTTGCCATATTTAATCGTATTTGCACCAACAACAACGACAGGTATATATTTGAACATTTGTGTGGGAGCCTTTAGAGCAGGCAATTGTAGCAGTGGAGACAAAAAACAACAGGATCCCACTGCTCGCTTTTGGGCATTTGCTTATTATTGTTCGAAACTTTTGCGCCCGCACAACAAAAAAAAGTCAGGCAACAGAGCTCCCACACACAATTGGCCTGGCCTCCTTGTTTCGTGCTGGGCAAATGTGTTTTTAGAATATTTTGTAACGCAAAAATTACCTCAAAAATTGCACAGATGCAAAATGGCACTAGAGATGGTCTTTTCACATAGAATATGTATTAAAATTTGGATGGAGGAATACAAAATAATATTTTGGTTAAAAAAATGTTGTTTAGGAAATCATAGAGACTTTTAACCAATTCACACTGTACTTTGTTTCTAAAAAACAAATTAGTTGTGACCTGGAAACTTTTGAAAACAATATAAATTGGACAAATAGCACAGCAAATTTATTAGAAATTTAGAAAATTAAGTAAACAAATTTAATTAATTACACTCCTGAGTGTATGTATGCTTCATATCTTTTTTAATTAAGAAAAGTTTCAATAAAGATTTAACTAATTATATTAGGTGAAGGTATGTTTAAAAATGTTGTCATATAATTTTCTCAAATTAGTCGTTTTCCCTTAAAATATTCCATCTCAAATTCGGAGTTGGAAGTTTGCGGCAGTTATGTCGGTTTGGCTTTACTCACAATTTTTAAGCTTGTTTCGGATGGTTACTCTGCTGGGGCAGCTTAAAACGTGCAATGGAAACTTTTGCCTTGGTCAGGTGGAAAGTTTTAAGACACAAATTTATGCCGGGACGGACACAAAGAGAGCATGTGTGCTTTGAAAGTGATTAAAAATTGGGTCAAGTGTTCGTGCGAAGGGAGATTAAGCAATTTGGCATCGGCACGCACACAAATCAAAGGATTTTGCCATCTTTTTTTATGAATCCCCTACACACGCAGCCCCAAAAGTTTCTCGCCCGCAACGATTTGTCATTTGTCGAGGCCGAAAAACCCGGCTAAAAGTATGCATTAAAAGAGGCAACTTCGAGTTAATTACAAAACGAGAACACAAACTGAACGTGCGGACAATGTCAGCAAGGTGAGGCCATCGGAACAACGAGTTAACCGGGAGGTGGCATCAACATCAACTGCCCCTCAACCTCAATGAAGTCAACCGGAGATTGCAGCACTCAGAGAAATGTTACCAAGAAACTAGAGCTCAAAGTTTAGTTATGGGATTGAAGATATCACACATCTTGAGAAAAAGAAATACTGCGTTTCACTTTATGAAGTTTTTAATTGGATGCCAAGATAATATCTTGGATCCTTCAGAACACCTATTTTGCTTTTCAATTTCAATTATAATGATATTTTCAATACCAATCTCAAGGGGTAACGATTGTAACCATTTTTTTTTAAGAATTGTCTTAAGCACTTCTCCAATTGTAAACTTTTTTTTGAAGAGGGTACCTTGGGAACTTTTTCTATTAAAAAAACCAAGTGCAGTGTAGTGCATGTATTGCTCCGGTTTGTTTTGGCTGTGGTTTCAGTGGCATCCCAGGGAGCGGTACCGACCCAACACCAGAATCACCGCCATAACCTTCATCACCACCGCCACTACAGCAACTACAGGTGGAACTACTTTGAGTGGGCTTCACTCTGCATGGCATTCCAGAAATAGTGCATCTCCACCGGGCCTGCAAGTTCAGCTTGTGCCAAGATGGACCAACTGCGGATGTGAATCTTCAGATTCTTTGCCGAGGATGCCTTACTTGCTTTCCCTTCATTTCAGGCAACCCTACATTTGCCAATGGAAAGTATCATTTTCAGCCAGTCAACAGTTGGCCAAACGTTTTAAGGTAACCTTCTTAGTTTAATCTTTTAAGAAAATAATATAAAATAAAATAGGATTTTAAATAACAGTATTTTAAAATAAATTCTATATATTCTTTAATAAAACATAAAAAACATATAAAAAAATTATTTATTTTCTACACTGTTATAAATATTAAAGAAAAACGGATGTTGCTTTTAATTGAAATAAATAAAATTGTTATTGTTATCAGAAAATCTAAATTTTTTTTAGACTGCAAACAATAAAAAAATTTTATAATCAAATGATTTTTATTTTTATGAACATATATCATTTACTAAAATAACTCCATTTTTAAATATATTAATGAATATTATAACAATATATATATCATTTCTATTATTAGTTTATTTAATCCGTGATCCATTTTAGATTAAATCGCTCTCAGTTATTGGGGAAAATTAAAAACAAATGTAAAAGTTCCCCGAAAATATGCCCTTTCCCGTTGCCAATTTGAAATCGGTGGGCGTTTGGTGAATGTGAGGGGCGTGCGCCTGCATATTTTATGGCTTCATCGGAGATGGACGGACGGAGGAGCCCGAGGACGAGGAGTAAAGTGGAACTGCAGCTGGCCACAGGACACGACTCCACTTACAGGACGTCCGTCTGTTTGGCTCTAAATTGTTGTTGTCCGAGCTTTGATTGTGGACCAGAGGATCCCGATACCCCTTTCGCCATTTTCCCGCATATATGTATGTGCATATATACGCGTGGGTGGAAACGTGTCTGTGTGTATTTAACGTGCCTTAAATCACATTTGGTCTGTAATCAAGCTAAACAAATATGGGCGCATTGGCTGCGGAGGAGGTTCCCTTGCGACAAGCTTTCGTTACGAATGGGTAAACTTAAATTTAGACCATCCATCGGAAATAGTATCAGTGTGTGTGTGAGCTGGAGAATGTGGTTGCTGGTGTGCGTGGCTAACTGGGTCAATTGTTTGAGCTGATTTCGGCATTAACATACAGTGCGTGTGACAATTAGACGACAAAGGGTCTATCAACTGACTTTAACTAATAATTAAATTAGGAATATAATCGCCCCAAATTTT